CCCAGAGGTCCCCTCTGTGGGCTTTTAAAGGCTTGGCACCACATCCAAGCACCCCATGAAAGAACTCTAACATTATAGTGCTGCTATTAAGACAAACCCAGTCGGGGAAAAAAAAAAAAAACATTTACGGAGCTTGTCGAACACTGGACCTCGTTTGCAAAATGAAATCAATAAAATTGTAAAGACAGGAACAGGGTACATATAGCTTTGGGGGATGCAAGCATTGTGATTTTTCTTCATGCCTCAGCCTCTCATTGATTAATTGATGACTGTTTCCATTTCAAAACACTCTAAGAAAAGCAATTAACTCTAATTAGAGTATTTTCCTGGTTCAGTGCGCTGGGATTTCCAGCAGTATATTACTGGCTGACACATTTACTTTCTTCCAATCGGGATGTGGGAAACTTACCATTCCAGGAAGCTAGCATTTTGGTGTCCAGGTGAGGAGGTGGGCGTGCTCTCCGTACCTCGGCCAGCTTGGCTCTGGCATCGGACAGCAGCTCAGACAGTCTGTCCACGCTGATGCCAAAGTGAGCAGCGGTGAGCTCCACGGAGTAACGCACAATCAGCACATTTTGACCCTGCAGCTCTCCATGGGGGTCCTACAAAAACACCCCCATGGAGTTTTAAAAAGTTTTAGTAACAAATCAGTAAATGCACATAACAAACAAAAATCCCTGCCATTAAAAACAAATAATCTGCTTTGTTCACAAATTAGGTATTGTATACATTAAATGTGTTGTGTACCTTCATTCTACTAGAACATACTTTTTTATCATTAAACAGAATTTGTTTTATGGGTTGCAAAACATTATTATTGACTGGTTGTTCATTTGACAGTGTGTAGCTAAAGATATTTGCAAAACTTTTTTTTGTAATAGTATTTCAATAATTATTTTAGTAGTTGAACTGTAAATTTGCAAATAATTTTTATAATTATTTGACACATTATTCTTCTATATCCTTATTTTTTTAATTACAGCAAGGGAAAAGCAAAACATTTTGTAAGGAAATGGAAGAAACATGCTTAGAAAATTAATCCAAAATAATTCTTCAAATACATAAACATATATCTTTTTTTTTTTTGTAGCTAAGAATCTTTCTAACATGGTTAGAAATGTTCTGGCTCTCATAAAAACCTCAAATTCCCGAACCTGAGCGGGGTCCACGTTGCCTTGCTCTTTCACACCGTAATGATGCATGAAGATATTCGCCTGTGTTATG